GAAATAGAGACTTTTGTAAAATGAATAGTAAACAAAACCTACGTCCCACAACGAGGCAATTAAGATTGTTTAGGCTTTGAACTGGTGAACTAACTATGTATTTGTGGATTTTAATAAAAACACACACGCCAGAGATCGTAATCTGGCCGTGTTTTTCATTGGCCATTCCGAATACAGAATTGTTTTGTTCTTTGAGCTTCGTCTTTGAGGAATGAAATATATTACATTACAAACTTAGAATGGATCAAGCATTTATGAATATATGAAGAAAGTAAAACAAACTATTAAGATTCGACTCTCTAGCTACCGATAGAGATTGTCATGCTGAAAGAAGAATGCACTTGTCAGTCAACCGAAATGCAAATAAGTCAAGAACTCCCAGGTTATTAGGGGACGTAATATGGACATTTCATTCAAAATAACAGTGAAGTAGAAATGAATTCATTTAACTGATGCGATACTGAACCTCTTTTCAAGAACTTGTTGAAGGATTTTTCATGATTTACTAGTACAAAATATGTAAATTTGTGTAGCTTGCGATGTTTGTGTTAGTACACAGTAATTGACTATGCATATACTATGGTTGGTCAACAATAACAAAGCAAAAAGCTACCTCACCTTTGGATATTGTTATGGTAAGACTATTTTCAATCATTGATCTGGAGAAGTAGAAAGGAGGGGACTTTGACTGCATTGCATTTTAACTTGTATTTGGGATGAAATTAATGTTTGAATCTAAAAATGTTCCATTAAGTCCAATTACTAACTCTTCATGTTCATTGACATCTTTATAACTCTTTAAAGTGCCTATGAAGTAAAAAATAATTGCTGCTTATTTGAAAGGCTTTTCAAAGTAAAGAAGAATGGCGTTTCCCTTTTTGCAATATCTTTTTTCGTTCTAGAGATATTTACGTTTTTGGATTATGCAAATGAGGAAATTGATGACGTCATAGGTGGTTCCACTTGAACAGTAAAACACTGAATCAAAAATATCTCTAGAAATATTGGAGCAGCGTTCTTCAAACTTGGCACCACAAATGTGCATCACAAAAGAAAGAGAATCACACCTTCTGTGTTGTTGCCATGGCAACACTTTTGGCTCCAGTCTCTTTCTGTGAAAAACCAAATATGCCAATTTGCGACCCTTCAAAAAGGGACAGAGGGTCTTGCTCGGAACACACATGATTTCTATATTGTCTTAACTCTCCCCATTAGATTGTTAGGAGTAGATGATCCTTGTTTAAGATAAAATCTGGTAATGTTCGTTTTAATTGAAACAGGACCAGGGGCATAACTGTTGTCATGGCAATGCCACAACGGGTGCCATTTTGTTTCTTTTGTGATATACATTTCTGGTGCCAAGTTTCAAGAACACTGCTGTAATATTTCTAGAGATATTCTTGATTGAGTGTTGAACTGTTTTAGTGGAACCACCTATGACGTCATCGCTTATAATACAAAAACGTGAATATCTCTAAAACGAAAAAAGATATTCCGAAAAGGAAAACGCCATTCTTCTTTACTTTGAAAAACCTTTCAAATCAGCAGAAATTATTTTTTACTTCATAGGCACTTTAAGAGCTGTAAGTTAACTCTTCAGCCGTTATTTGTGATAACCCAAATGGACCAGCAAATTGTCGATCCTGGCCTAAATTACAACGTAGCAATCTCCACTGGTGACCCGGACTTCAAAATGGAAAAAATATATACATCACAGCCGTTCAAATCGTAGCTAGACTCCGAATTGTGATGCTAGATGACACAGTTCTTTCACTTAAAAATCTTGTCCAGTTTTGATAAAATAGGAATCACAAATAACCCAAAAATGTTTTGACAGTGCTCAAAGCTCAGTCAAAAGTCACTTGAGTGTTTTAGCCTGGTTCTCAAAGTGACGTCACTAGTAGCCCGACCCGGGTCCCACTTTGCGCAGTCGTGAAAATAGAAATTACAAGTTCAAACGCCTGTAGAAACACAGGGATTTTATCAATCAAGATCATTTTTTCCCTGAAAAAAATTAGGGGGTTAGTGGCAGTTTAACAACAACTAGTGTATGAAGTATGTCCATAAATTTTTTGTAACCTATAATTATTGTATGCTGTGATTTGTTAGTGGTTTCTGATGTATCTCAAAAAAGGTACTGGAAAATAATAATAAAATGGTGATGATGATGATGATCATAATAATAATAATAGTAACAATAATAGTAATAATAAGAGTGTTGCTGCTTGCAGAACGACGGAACAGTTTTCTGAAGCACTCAAGACTGTCTGTTGTTGCATTTTTAAATGAGTTGCCGCGGACAAAACATGAATTGACAAGTTTCACCGTTGACGTTAATCTGGCCTTGGTAAGTGGTTGTAATCACATAATTATACTTGAACATGTATTTAGTCTTCACTCTTATTATTATGTGATTCAATAGAAAAGCCTAAAGTACATTTACTTAATGTCGTACATATTAGCAATTAATATCTTGGGACTATATCCATGTTAAATTGTGTCCCTTTCAACTTACTGCACAAACATGTGCATGCCTTAACCAAGTTACTGAAATCCTGTGAAGGGTCACATAGTAAATTAATATCTCTTACAGTAAACCATTGTTCTGGCTGCAATTTGTGCTACAGGATTTTCTGCCCTCTAAAAATAGTTCTAGTACACTGCACACTTGACTCAGTTAACTGGTAACTCCTGCATATTGCTATCGATTACCACTGACTGCAAGCAACAGTGAAGCTGTTGCTACCATCTCAAGAGCATCAGTTGAAAGGAAAGACAGGATTCTCTATGATGCTGCTTAAACCATGTTCATGTAGTGATAGACTTTCCTTTTCGTCTTTTACATGGTACATGAATCACCCAAAATCATCAGCTTTATATAGAACCAAGGTATAAAAAGTGCTGCCTGTGATGAATCATGTGTTCTAAAGGCATACATGGTCAAGTGTCGGTTGACACCCGGTTGACACACAATCAACATCTCGATCAACACTCATTGGACATCTCAATCAATACTTGGTCGACACTAGATTGACAAAAATATCATGATATTGATCATGATAATATAGGATATAACGTTTTCTGGTCTTTAAAGTATTTCAAAACATAAGCTTTTGACAGCTGGTGTACTGTCTTCAACGGATAAAAATTTGTGATAACAGCTTTACAATCACACGTTTGTAGATAATGAACTTTACTGCTCTATGGCTCTACGATCTCACATTTTTAGATCGTTAACTCTATGGCTCTGCAGCTCAATACCAAGTGTAGATAAGGAATCGTTTATTTCAATTTTTTCGTTAGTACTTCTTGAAACTGTACTAAGTACTTGACGCGTATGCACAAACAGAAAAAAAACTGAAGTGTTATTTCCGTTTTTTCCAGTTATAAATGCAATAGAAAGTTTTCAACGGAACCAAGGGTATTACTAACATACAAACTTAAGAGGAAAGTTTTTAATTAAAACAAGAGTCTTTTTAAAGTACCGAGGAAAGTTTTGAATAAAAACAAGGGCTGTACTAACATTTTTACTTACCAAGGAAAATTTTGAATTAAAACAAGGGTCGTCCTGCAGTATAACATGCTAAGGAAAATTTTGAGTTGAAATAAGGGTCTCACTGTCATTTCAACTTACCAAGGCAAGTTTTGACTAGAAGCAAAGGTCATACTAACATACTTAGGAAAGTNTCGTCTTTTCCCCTCATTTGCTCCTGGCATTTGACTATTTGGGGTCGTCTTATTGGAAAAACAAATTGATGTCAGTTTTTTTATACGTCTGTCTTCTTATTGATGATAAATTTCATCATAACATTGTCAAAGTTTACTGTGGAACCACTTTTAACATATGTGTATTCACTGGTAAGCTATGAAGATAAAATGATCATTACTGTGAATCTCAGCTAAATTATTAATCTATTCTCTGGCATGCATGGCTTTGTTTTAAAACATATGTTGCTCTGTACTTGAGCAGAAAATGTGACAACTTGTCTTGCATGGATCCCTCTTCCATCTTCTCTATCCCTTCTTTGAAGGCTCTAACTGCTTGCTCTGCCTGTCCATTTGAAGCTGGATGTTATGGCGATACTTTGGTGTATTTGATGCCATTTTTTGAGAGGAAATTCTCAAATTCCACACTTGTGAAATTGGGACCATTGTTGTTGACGATGGTTTCTGGGAGACCATGGGTCACGAAGATTTCTCTCAACTTCATTATGGTGGCGGCTGATGTTGTACTTCACATTATGTAGACATCCATCCACTTGGAATGTGCATCGATCACCACTAAATACATCTGACCCTTATATGGGGTGCACATTGATTATGCAGGGCCATATAAGGGGTTGACAGAGTTGACCAGGTTGACCGGGCCACTCCCATGGGTGGAGTGGTGCTTTTGCTGGGGCCTTCTAGTGCAGTTGGCATTGCTGACACCTTTTAACTGCATCTTCTGACTGACGGTCCATGTTTGGCCACCATGCATAATCACGTGCAAGGGCTTTCATCCTTGATAAGCCCGGATGGGCTTCGTGAAGCTCGGCTATGACTTGTGCTTGTCCTTGAGGTACTATCACCCTGTTTCCCCATAGAATGCATCCACTTTCTATGGTTAATTCTGCTTTCTGGCTCAAATATGGGTGTAACTGCACATCCTGGCAGTGGTATGGCCATCCATTAAGTGTAAACTGGTGCACTTTTGAGAGAACAGGATGGCACCTTGTCCATTCTTGGATATGACGTGAGTTGATTGGGGTGTGGTTCAGATGTTCTAAGAGCAAAACTCTCTCTCCAGGTACAGGAACAGACTCTGGCATCTTGGACTAGGGAAGTCGACTTAATGCATCCACACTGGCATTTGTGGTCCCTGCTTTATAGGCAATCTTGTACTCATAGCTGTTATATAAAGTTACCAACATATTTTTAGACATAATTTATATAGTGAGGTGTGAGAGAGTATAAGGCAGAGTTACTAATTAGTAAATAAAATGGTCAAATATTTTCAGGTTGAGTATAATTAATGATGAACTACATATTCGCAACCCATCTTCAGCTCGAATGGAGGTAAGCAGATCACGCTACAAATAATGTTCTATTAATCGTGATAAAATAGGGCCGTGTAGATTATAGAGGTTATCATCATACACTGAAAGGGTTAAAAGAACAGACAATAAAATGTCAAAAATAAACAGGTAATCCTTTAACAGCTAATTTCTCTAAATAGTGAGGAAGAGCCATCAGTCTTGAAATTTCAAATTTCCTCATAATTTACCCAAATAATCTCTATAGTGAGTTGTTTTTGAAAACACCATTCAGAGGTTCTGAAGCACTTAAGAGTGCAAAAATGACGTTAAGAGTCCAAAAATGGCGCAATTGGTCAAAATACCTGTATAGTTTTTCTTCTACCGTGCTTAATTTTCATGGGCCAAACTAACCATTTAGATATGTTATACCCATAGCATAGCTCTTGCTTTAGAACCTTTTATTTGTTGAGAGATTCACATACTAGAAGAGTTATGACCCTCTAAAATCAGTTGAAATTTTACATGTAAATTAAATTGCTATAGTTGTATTTTTCAAACGGCCAAGAAGTAGACAAAACGTGTTTACTTCAAGATGACTTTTAGCTCAGAAGAATGACCAAAATGCAAATAACAAACCGTGTGAATATGAAATCCAGCCAAGTTCCCTTCTTTCTGTACTGGCATGATGAAAATGTGCAATTTTGCATAAATTCCATCGGCCATTTTGGTTGATTGAGCAGTATTTCGAACTTTCCTAGATTTCACAAAAATGGGAACTCGCTGGAACATTGGAAGTATAATTCTGAAAATAGTTCACCAAAAGGGTCTTTTTGACACAATAAAAAAAATCCGAATTTTCCAACCTGTTATCGGATTCTCCATGTTTACAAGCAATGGCTCTTAAGTATTTTCTAAATCGAGGAAACTTTAAAAATTGCCATTATTTTTAGAGCTCAACAACTGCCAAAAATGACAGAAAATTGTGCATTTTCATTTTGCTTGTACAGATCAACATGATGATATGGTGTATCTGTCAATGTACTTTAGATAAATGATTAGGTGCATGTCTTGCTGCTTCAAAAGGGCTGCTTTTGTTATATTATTCTAGGAAGCTTGTGAGTTAAAGGGCAAATTAACAAGTGAATAGAGGCATGTTAAAAATCTAGTGCCTTTTACTAACTTGAAATTGATAAATGTAATGTAACTGCCATCATGAGTTCCTGAAAATGACTTTTCAAGTGTTAACCCTTGTTCAGAATTCTAACCATTGACGCCGGTCCTTACACTAACCTTTCATCAATTCTACCTGACACTCAAAGCTGACCACCCACTGTGACCTGACTTCCCAAAATGTTTCTTTTGCTTTTCAAGTGCTTTGTCTACTCAATCAGCTATTTGAAATTAATGTCTTGGCTTATATAAATGCCATCTTATTGCTAACAGTTGTCATTCAATTCTTGTGAGAGATTTCCCTTTTGTAAAAAAACGCTCCTGTAATAACACCATTTCTGTGCATTTTAACCATATTTGACGAAGAAATTACAAAGCCACCAATAGGAATATCTATATTTTGATCAACACACCCTGGCCTTTGCCTCTGGGAAGATCTACTGTAACCTTAATAGTAAAAGGGTGCGGCTAACTTAGTAAAGGCTTTTAGTGGATAATATATGGTTCTATCAGTTTGATGGCTGAGCTTTGGAGTACATTTTTCCATGTAAGGTTACATATTTCAAGCCCACACTTAAAGTAAGTATACTAAAGACATTTGGACATGTTCAGTTAACAACTTGACTTGGACCTTAGTCCCTTGAGTCCTTTTTGAGGTGGGACAAAATACAGAAATCCCTGGGAACAAGGTGGTTTGTGAGAGGACTACAGTACATGTATCTTTTGTGATATTAGGATGCTGCCAATGGAACAGCTGCCTCTACAGATGCAATTAACACATTACAGGCCTCTCCAGCTTTACTCAGGTTTTCATCAGAAAACAGTTCTGCTCAAGCATCAACTCCACAGGTAATTCAAGAGGTTTTTTAATGAATGGTGCATTTAATGTGAGTTTAGTTGTTGGTCACATGATCCTTTCAGTTCTGTAACTCCTGTGTTGTATCAGGCTTTGTAAACTTGAGTATTTATAATTTTTGTGTTTGTTCAAATAGTTTTGTTTTTTGTGTGATGACTAGTCTAATAGTGGTTTTCATATATTGGTAATGAGTACTACTTTAACTGTATTTTTTATCAACATGTACTGTTTGCATTAATATGACAATCTTGCTCGCAAATTTGTATTTTTTTGCGCATTGAAATGAGTTAGCAGTTATGTCACTTATCGTCTGATGATCTTAAAGGAGAAGGTCACTCCAAAAACTGTGTATTTTTTTCCATCACCAATAAAAAGTTCACATTGAGTTGAGTTACTCACCGTTGTTTTAGCTTNTAGATATTTCTACTTCGCAAATGACCCAGCATGATACTGATACCAGAATTGGAAACCCACGTCAGTCTTATTTCTCAAATCAGCAGGGCCGGGTTGTTCGAAAGCCGGTTAACGCTAACCCAGGATTAAAAGTTAACCCAAATATAAATTTTCCTCTATAAAAATGTTTTCCACTGCTTATGCTTCGCGTAGTTTGAAATAACTCAAGTTCAAAACTGAACTGCAAACATTTCCCATCTATGTAGTAAGTATTGAATTTGTCTCACCAGCAATTCAAGAGGCAGAATTCTCTCAGCATTCGCTTGGGCACCTCTGTCCTAAACGGTGAATAGAATCCACAGCAACTTCACGACGAACGATCAAGTTCTCTGCTATGTTACGCCGATTAGCGTGAGGATAACATCTTGAACAGTCACTCAAAAGACGCATAACTGTTTCTAGAAGTTCAGTCACTGGGGGAGCTGCCGTAACAAACAATAAATAGCAGATGGACCACGACAAAGCATTTCACCAGTGCCGCCATATTGACGATTCTTAGTTAAAGTAATTTTCATTGCTATCATACACGAACAGCCATTCTCTTAAAAGGCACATTATGCTGGCATATAAAACGTAATTTACGAAACCCGCATATACGCGCATTTTAGCACGCATGTATATGGGTCCTTTTAGGACGTGTATATTTGGACATTTATTTCGCAAATCCCCGCGCTTGAATTTGCGCAAATATGTGGCCCTTTAAAAATACGTACATACGCGGCAGAAAAACCCGCGTATACCCTGTCGTAATTTTGAAACGAATGGCCAACCATAGCAGACTGACCCGTTCCGAAAACGCTGAACGTCCTTTAGTGTTGGACTACTGCAAACAGTGTGTTCGTTTGTACGCATGCACAGGTGACGCATGCGCTTTAGAGATCAGACGGTGATTTGTGACTGAACAAGGAAAAAAAAGAGAGCCGAAATTTAAACCCAGGCCTCACTGCCTGGGTAATAAAGAAATAAATATCGCTGGCCCTGACAAAGTTTGGGAAATCCCACACAAAAACTCAGTGCAGTGGCATCAAAATTGTCCCAGTTTACAGACAATCCAGTTTCCAAGTTGAGTGGCTCATAGCCACTTTTTTATGTTATTCCACTACACATAATTTTCACCATTTCTTTACCATCAGTTTGCCATAACATTGCAACTCAAGAAGCCCAAAAGCCACCTTTTAAGTTTTCTTTTCAATTCATTTTAAGAACCATGCTCGCCCTAGGCTGCACAGTTTAATGCTCCCAACACGTGCTCAAGGCCCGAAATCCTTTTGGGGGGACTTTATTTGCAATTGCTTACATTGTACTACAGCTGCGATAATTACTTCTTCATTCCAGACTTCACATTTATTTCAGGTAGAGCAGTTTTCAATTTAGTGTCGAATGTACTCAGGTAATTACTTTGGTTTTGGTCTTACTACAGTTTGAGATTAGGTGAATAGTCTAATTATTAGTAAGTAATTGGTTTGGTTTTGGTTTTACGACACTCAATTGAAAACCGCTCTAAAAGTACTTGTAGTTTTTGTTAGTACGAAATCTTGTGGGACCTGAGCTATCCAAGACCTGAAGCATGTTATTTCAGAATAATCTCTGATTCAACTGGGCTAATTAGCCGGTGCCATAACACTCTTTTTTTCTGTTTCAGGACAGTGGAAGTATACCGCCTGAGGCATTTGTCAAATAAGTCTAGTTAATATTTTAATGTTGACAACAGCACACAAGATATCTAAGTTTAATTTTTTTTCTTAGCACTTTTGTCTAAATGAAGTCTGGTATAAGTTGTTTAAACAGGCTTTTATTTTTTTTTTTTTTTTTTTTTTTCTTTGTTCTTTTTATTCAGAATTTGACATTTTCACATTTTTAAGCACGTTTCCTTGCAAATAAAAAGGACATAGTGTATATACATGTAGGTGCTATTGTATTTTATGTGGGATAACGAGTATTGTCAACAACGAGTACATTGTTGATAATTGAGGAAATTGTAAGATTTGTGGTTGTTCTTACGACCAATAACTAAACGTAAGCTAAACGGCAAACGTATTTCTACACCGACGTCTCAGCAGGTTCAAATGGAAATTTGGTGGAAAAACGTGAAGAAAAACCAATGGATTTGCAATTGACCACATGACGACAGTCCGCTACAGGTTGCGTGACATTGTTGATAGCAAGACCTACTGAGTTACGGCAGATCTACTATTCTACTGTATTCTAAGAATGAAATGAATTAGCATATACCACACAAGTGAATAGTGCTTTTTCATGTGCTCTGATTGATTAACTCGGGGGTGATTAGCAAGTACTATTCGCTATAATGTAAATATCTTATCTGAGATTTAAAATAACTGTCAGGTTACGTTTAGTTCAATTCTACCTCATTACCATGCTGAGAGACTCCATGAGATAGCAAGCGCAAGCGCAAATCAGTGCAATGTTTGTCGCCGATCAGGTTCGCTTTTTACTGCTGTATACAAGGATTTTTTCCAAAAATACAGCTTTATTCAACACT